AAGAAAAAATACAGTTTTTAAAACCCCAAGTTCTACACAACTTTTAATTATATATGATCCTATTAGTATTTTTAATATGACATGTGTTAGTGTTCTTTAGTATCCAGAAGTCTTAAACATCTTTGGATGGAAGTTAAATTCCATTTACACAGTCTGATAGTGCCACAAATTGTAACATATTCATTAAAACACATTTTGTATCCTAAATATATTCTCATAAAGTAAACACCAATTTTCATAAGGAGTTGAAGCGCTTTAATAATAAACACCTTCTAAACTCAGACTATTATTATTGTACAAAATTGATTTACTGTGCTGTTAAAAGTGCACATGTGTAAACATAACCAGTAATTATGCACATCAGTTTCACCACTGTAAAAATAGCTAGATAAATTGTTTGTGTTTATGAATTTAAGCCATTGCACATTTCAATTGCAAGACAATTTAAAGTGCCCTACATGGGAAACAAAAAGAAAGACATTTTTTAGTGGCAGGGAGAAAAATAAAAAAGAGAATAAAAAACATAATTACAATAAGAAACTATGGATATATTTGTAAAAATGAAAAAAAACAACATAAATGGTTGACAGAAACTCAAAGGAAGTTTGGACTAAAAATGCTCTAAACATGTTTTTAATCTAGATTTCAGGCAAGGCAACTTTATTTATATAGCTTATTATAGTAGCAAGACAATTAAATTCATTATTGTTTCTGATACATCATTGCTCTGTGTATTGTTTTATTGCAGCTGGCCTATAGCCCAACTCTAGTATGACTCACCCTTCTGCGATTTTTCGTCTTTTCCAGACAAAAAATCTGCACCATACTGAAGGAAAGTGATATTAGATACCTATTTACCTAAAGTAGCAAACAATTTCCGACGCTATTAAAATACAAGAAAGATATGTAGTGATGCAAAAGGATATAATTCTCTCCCTTCACTACATATCTTATAGTAATCAAATAACAGATTTTCAAGCAGTTACAAACAAAAGCATCTCTCCGTTGTTCATTTCTAGTCATAATTTGAAAGCCATACACAAACTTTGTAATGAATGAAACCCTTCAGCACTTTATTTTTGTTGATATAGATGGGGTTTGTGATGTGACATCTAGCAGTACATTTTCCAATATATTTGTTTTTATTTACAAATAAAGCTTTATGGTAATGCTTTACATCGGATCATGATGAGGATTGTAAACCAATGACAAACTGCTTCAAACATTTTAAGTGAAGCAAATCAACTGTTTGGCCTAAACATTTCCGTAAACAAATGTACTTTATAAAGCATCAATGCTCACGTGTTGACCAATGTTATCTGTTTTGAAGCAGTTATTATGTGAGGTTGAGAGCATTGCCTTCCAAAATGTGATTCAATACTGACCTCAAAACACATCCTGTGCACAGACAGAGCAGCTGTTATCAATATTGTTATATAAGCAATCCATCACATGACTTGGAGGTCACTATCAGTGTATAATTTTCACAGGGTTTTCAAAATCTATGACAAATTCAAATCAGAAGTAAATTTTTTTTTGTTCAGCAGAAATAATCTGTTCTAACTGTGTTTATAGTTGCTGATCTTGATTGATGATGTGTAGCACTCAGGTTTTGATCCACACATTAGTAATCCTGGACTTCAATTAAATGTGTTCAGGGAAAAGAGTGCCGTTCAGCAAAACCTTTCGACTGAATGTTTGAAGCGACACCTAAGGCTCGCCTACCAAATTTTGCGTTAGGCCAATCATGGTAACATAAGTAGCAGTAGTGAAATCACAAGAAGGTTTTTACGCCCTCACTATCTCCCAGCATTGCATGTGTAGCAATGCAATTTTTGCTAAGTCTTCTGGGAAAAATAGTTCAAGCTCAGTCAAATTGGACAGAATGTGGATGTTTATATGACTTTTCTAGCATGGTTACAAAATATTAAACCTTACTTAGATATCGACTTGGACTGGGCCATCCGGATGTCTATATATGCTTTGTATCCTTTGGTCTAAACCATCCAATTGATGGTTTTGCCTGCATGTCTAGGCTCTGATCTTCTGGAAAGTCATTTTCTCCTCCTCAGTATCAAATCGAATGGCAGAATCCAAATCTTCAGGATTCTATTGAATTTATCTTTATCGATTCTCCCACCAACTCTGACTGGTTATGCTGTTCCTGCTAAAGAAATGTTTCACCACGGATGGTATATTAAAAGCAACAGCTTTCCACTACACGTAACATTTTAAACTACTCCCAGAATGTACAATTTAGGTTTGTTCCATTAAAGCTACAGTGTGTAATAATTACAGGGATATACAGTCAGAAATGTAATATATTATACATAACTATGTTAT